CCACCTCTTTTTGATGGAACCAATTATACATATTGGAAAGAACGAATGAGAATCTATATTCGTTCCACGAACTTCCAATTATGGTTGGTTATCAAAAACGGGGAAGAGGTACCGATGAAGAAAGTCGGAGACAAGTTGATCCCCAAGACCGAAGACGAGTTTGATGCCGAGGACATCAAAAAGGTCGAGAATTATGCAAAAGCAATAAACATGCTTTATTGTGCCGTAAATCCTGATGACTACCGCAAGATCTCTTGCTGCTCAACCGCCAAAGAGATGTGGGATAAACTTGAGGTGACGTACGAAGGAACGGACCAAGTACGTGAAGCCAAGATTGACTTCCTCACCCAAGAATATGAGATGTTCAGGATGAAGGAGCACGAGAATATCGATGATATGTTCGACCGTTTTTCCAAGATAGTCAACGATCTTCATGCATTAAAGAAGACTTACACCGACAGGGATCTTGTGCGAAAGATCCTACGGAGCTTGACATCCGAATGGAAATCCAAGGACGATGCCATATATGAGTCAATCGGCACATCAACTGTCACCATCGACGGTTTAAGAGGTAATTTAAAAACTTATGAATCTACTATACTTAACCCGTCTTTGAATGACCAGAGAAAAGGCATAGCATTAAAAGCCTCCAAAGAACCGACAATGAATGACTCAAGCGACGAAGATGAAGTCAAACTAATCATGAAGAAGTTTTGCAAACTTCTAAAGAAAGAGAAGGTTGAGGATGGCCTTGTGTGCTATGGATGTGGTGAAGCCGGGCACATCAAGAATAAATGCCCAAGAAGCGGAAGGAATGCTCGTCACTTCAAAAAGCAAAGAGCATACATCTCGTGGGGTGGAGACTCCGGCGATGAATCAAGCGAACAAGAGGAAGAAGAAGAAGCAAATCCTTGTCTCATAGCTCAAGAAGAAGAGGAGTCCGCCAACAAGCGAAAACCAAGAGGTATGTATTTCTTCTACCGGTTCTTATTCTCTTGAAGAAAAGCAAGAAGCTCTCCAAGAGCTTTATGACGAGTTTGTTAGCGCTTCTAAAACCAACAAAGCTTTAATGAAACGTTTTTCTAATCTTGAAACTGAAATTGAAAAACTTCAAAAGGAAAACAAAAAACTAAAAGAGGAAAATAAATTTTATGGTAAAAGAAGCGCCGACAAACCCGAGAGCTCTACGAAACATTGTGACTCTTGCATAGCTTTGATAGAACAAGTTCCTGAACTAGAAAACGCGGTGAAGAAATTTAATAAACCACATAAGGATCTTAATCTCGTTTTTGATTCTATGCAATACACTAAACAAGGAATAGGTTTTGGGAAGATTGATGAACCTAAAAATAAAGAAAAAGTTGAGCACAACCGTAAACCACCTAGAGCTCAACCTAAGAAAGATAAAAATAAAAATAATAGACAACC